CTGGTCAATTGACATATCAATTTTGCATTACATATCCCGGTGGTGGTAAGGACCACTTACCTGCTTTTCACTGCAAAGTGCTTTGATGCATCTTATTGCTATCCATATATTGCTATTCAATAGTCCCACCTCATATAAGTTATGTGTAGCATTCCAGAACCAGGAATTGATTTACTTGACATACAAAAATTTCATCCAAAGCATGTGTCATTCTTCACATATCTGGTTGTGGCTACTCTAGTGATGATCGAACGCTTTAATCTTTGCTAAAGCGACCAAATCGTAATGATCAAGAGGTCATTACACTTATCAATTTATTGAGTAGGTAGACAAGTCCAGAAAAGTTCATCTTCAGATGGGCTTGCAGTGAAAACACCAATTGATCGATTTATCAGGTTCTAACTTCCAGTTGATGGCCATCCCTGGAAAGCAGCAACCGTCTAGGGCTGTGCTCCATCAAAAGCACATCATATATGCTCGCTTGAAAGGCTTTGATTTAATATTGACGTTATAAAATGCAGACATGGTCACTGCACCTACGAAATCATTCCTCTATTTATATAGCAAAAATAAGTGCATATGTACTCTCGGGATAAATGGCCTCTGCACAGATGCAGTGCAAGAGAGCAGAAGTAATTCACCAGACGTGGAAAGCAAGGGTGCAGGAAATTTATCCACATACTCGATTGTCCGCATTATTTTTGTACCTCCCAAACTAAAACTGATGATATGGAGAGTCTACTATATTTTAAAATGAGCAGTACCTATGCAGAGACGGCCACATCACCATAGCTAGCTTCCAGTTTTTCAGCTCTATACTGCTGCGCTTTTTTGCAGAACGCACTTGCGCTACAAAAAAAGCGCAAGGCGCAATGGCAGACTTGCAGTCATCACTTTGTTTGGATATGGAAGCCTTCATTCAAGAATCCCCAGAAGCATGTTCCATTCACCATAGGCGACAAACTGAAGTGCGTCACGTCAGACTCAATTCCCTTATCCCCTCACCATAATGTGGATTGCGATCTCATGCCTAAGATACATCTGCTACAAATTTAAGTTATACAACTAAAAACCTTTTAAATGCACTCGAGTGTTCCTTTGGGAGCATATGCCGATCACACTACCACGATCTCGCCTAGACGCAGCTTTGAGAAACTAACAATACCTCAAAGCGCTGCTCCTGAAGGCTGGTTCATGCATTGGCCATTAGACTACGACATACTGCATTACGAGCACGACCACTTGCAAGCACTTGCGACGATATAAGACACTGGTACCGTCTGTCAAGTATGCCTAAGGTGCTTCCAGTCGGCATACGCTTCCTAATTACATTTCCTAACTCACCATCCTTTTAACAATTCTGACAATTTTTTAAGTGGCCATTTCTCATAGATACTAATATAGTAGTATGTAGGTTCGACGTCACAAATAGTGCAAAACCTTGCCTAGTCATATGCAGATCGGAAATGTTCCAGGGCAGCCCGATAGTTGGAGCCAGCTTGTTCCTTCGCCGTAAGTAGTCACAAGCAGCGAGTCATAGTCAAACACAAACATCTGAATATCCTTAAAGGGCAACTCCGGTCGAATACGAAACCAAAATAAATTACTGGTATCGCTTTAGTGGCCCGAAATATGATCACAGCCGAAATATTACATCAAAGTGAAGCCGTGTACTCCACTAAAACCGATTTTAAAGATGTACGACCAGCTGCTCTTTAGTGGGCGGCAAGCGGGGTAGCTTCTTGTAGAGGAAACATACTCCGAGGCAGGCGGCCGGTAGTGCGCTGAAGCGACTTCCTTCATTCCTTTATTTACATATCAAACTTAAAAACATGTGGCACCATTTGGGCGAGTATATTAGTACAGGTTACTAGTGCCATTCCACATCTACCCCTTCTAGTACAGATCCTATTTACAAATTCAAACGTTGAGGAGGGATGTGCCACATCGGCTCTTGATCCTCAGGCTGTAGCGGTGTCGGTGGTCTTGGGATCACCACCTCAGTGCTCGCCGGACTGCTGGGGCCACGTTGCTCACGTTTGGGAGGTTCCGGGCCAGGTGACTGGGCCGGCTTCTCTGAACAGAAGGGAACCAGGTGCCCGCGGTTCCGCTGCAGAACTCCCTGTGGCATCTCCACTATGTATGACCGTGGGTGTTGCGCTTGACTTAGTACCGTCGCACTGCACCGAATGTCTTTTACTCGCACCTCATCGCCTGCAGCAAGCCCATGCAGTTCTTTTGCTGCATGCCGACAATTGTAGTCCGCAGTCTGTCGACAGTTGTCCTGCCTTTCCCTCTCGAGGAATACCTCTGTCGACGGCCACTCAGGTTTCAACTTTTCTGGTGGCTTGAGCATCCTGGTTCGCAGTCACCATCCCATCAACAGTTGCACCAGGCTGAATCCGGAACGTCCCAGTGTATTCCTAAAGACCGGCAATGCCAGGAACGGATCATCGCCCTTGTGCAGGAGGTCCTTGACGGTCCGGATCGCGCAATCGACTTCCTTGTTGAACTGCGGGTAGTGCGGGCTGCTTGTTGCGTGCATGAAGCCATAGTCCTGTGCAAACTCGGCAAACTCAGCAGCTGCAAACTGTGGGTCGTTGTCGCTGCAAACAACTTCCGGAATGCCATAACGCGCAAGCGCACTCTTCACAGCAGTGATCACTGAGGAACGTGTAGTGTTCTTGAGTGTGATAACTTCAGGGTACCGCGAAAGGCAGTAGACAGTCAACATAAAGTCTTGACCGTTGAAATGAAACAGATCTATTCCCAGCTGCTCCCAGGGGAGCTCAGGGGAAGGTGACGGTATGAGGGATTCAGCACGGTGAATCCTTGTAGTAGCGCACCGTTCGCAGTTCTCCACCAAAAACTTGATCTGCTTACTCACACCAGGCCACCAAACCAACAAGGTGTAAAGTTGGGCGAGTTGGTTGATGGTCATCTTAAATTGGTTAAAACAGCGCCAAAAAGACAAAGGACCAGTAAAAGGAAACACACAGACACAGCGCTGACTTACAACTGAAATTTTTACTTCTGAGCAAACATACAAGCAATCAACCTCATAACACTGTGTGTTTCCTTTTACTGGTCCTTTATTTTTTTGCGCTGTTTTAACCCATTCAAGGTCACCACGCCAAGTCACGTGCTCGAGCGCGACAACAATTCACGCCCTGGTGATTCTCGTGGATGAACCCAAGAACTTCACCCTGAAGTGATGCTAAGACAACTAGGCGACTCCCCTGGAGGAGCAACCCGTCGCACACTGTGAACTTGCCCCGGTGTTTCCAGGACTTGAGGGGATTCAACGCCACCTTCGGTTTCACAGGCCAGCCTTGTTCGCAATACTTCAAGAGAATGATGCACTCGCCATCTGAAGCTTGCTCTTGTCACAGCCTGTCGAGTCTCACGGGTGGCTTGTCGTGGATGCCCTAGACCATGCTCTCAACAAACAGCTCCATGACACTGACTGCTGGTGATGCCTGCTCCAACGATGCTCTGGACAAAGTGTCAGCCATTGCCAACAACTTTCCGGGAATGTGAAGAACCCTGAACTGGTATGTCATGGCTGCACTTTTGTTCGGTGGGTGTCGAGACGCGGGAAGCAAGTCACTGCCCGACGCTCTCTTGAAGACTGGTCTTGTAAGAGCACTGCACTGAGTCCGAACGAGCTGGCGTCAGCCGACACGATAGTAGGTAGCGCTGGGTGGTACCTGGCCGCTCAGACTTCCAAACACAGTATCCTCCTCAGGTTCAGGAAGGAGGCCTGTTGATCTGGGCCCCAAGTACAGGCACCGTTCTCGCTCAGCAAAGCACGAAGAGGTGCAGTCGTGTCCGACAGGTGTGGTAAAAACCTGCCCATATGGTTCACCATCCTGAAAAGTCTCCGGATTGCACTTCTAACACCATGTTGAGGAAACATACTCCAAGGCAGGCAGCCGGTAGTGAACTGAAGCGATTTGCTTCATTCCTTTATTTACATATCAAACTTAACAACACGTGGCGCCATCTAGGTGAGTATACTAGTACAGGTTACTAGCACCACCCCACACTTTTAGTCAAGGAACACTGGCGCAGCACCCTTGTGATATCGCGTCACAGTGGAGCCGCGGTTGATTGGTTGTACCGCGTACCACAGCACACTTGTGATGTTGTGTCACGGCCGTACGGCTGGTGATCAGTGTTGCCATTCCTCTAGCAAATAGTTTCGGTTTTGCCGCAGACGCCCGAAACCAAACTTTGGGCCCGTGATATTCATAAAACTACGCACAACGTCTAAAAAAAAGTTAGACCTCGTAATTCAGAGATACTGCTTTAGCTGAAGATGGTCGTAATCCCAAATTAAAAAGATATTGACCGGAGCTGCCCTTCAAGTCAAAAGCCTTTTCTAGTTTTCTTGCTCGGCCCCTTTGTCAGTGTCCAAGATTCCGATGATTGCGAAGAAGGTTACAGGGTTCTGGCCCTTAGTCAGATGAGTGAAGCATCCAGGGGTGGACTTACCAATAGGCAGGGCAGGCAGCTGCTCTGCCTTTGGGGACGGCCAATTTGTGGCTGCCCCAAAATAATTGGCTTTTTTCTTTTTTATGTCTAGCTTAGAGTTTAGTTATTTTGGCAGTTCTAGCTCCAAATCTAGCGACTTTTGAAAATTTTATTTTCAAATGTAGCTATTTCCCTTCTTCATGGTCACTGACAATGAGGAGCAGGGGCGCTGTTAAAGGCTGCCTAGGGCTGCAAAATGGTAAGTCTGCCTCTGGAAGCGTCGGACCACCGATCCGCTGCACAGTGAACAAAACAGAGGTGTTTGAGTATAAAATAAAAAAAAGCACACACTACAGCAAAATCTGGAGCATGTGCAAAAGCTTACCAGAAAAGCCCCTACCGCCACACACAAGCAGCAACTATAGCAAGCACTTGTGCAGTCAGCCAGTTAACTATGATCGCACAAACTGAATGCTTGTGACAGGCTTCTACGGTGCAATAAGAACAGAACTCGGAAACAAAAGTAATGCGTGCATTCTCTTCTTTTATTTCACCTCTCTGGCACAGCATGAAAGAATTCATAAAACCAAAATTTAAAGCACAAAAGGATATAGTATACATAATAAAACTGCTTCAGGCTAATGCAACTGTACACATGCCAGTATACAAAATTAAACACAAAACTTAGGACAGCGCATTCCATTGTTCACTTTGTTCGTACATTAGGAAATGCATAAAAATCAAGGAGACTCTCAAGTTTCACAGCTCTTCACTTTGAAGACACAACACAACGAGCTAGCTGTCTAGCTTCAACTTGATCAACAGTAAACATAAATTGAGACGAGCAAAAATATATTCTAAATGTGCCACACCAACTACATACTAATAAATGCTGCCAATTAAATAAACTTTGTAGCAGCATGCAAAACATGCACTGCGACAAAAGTGTCACACATGCTTCGTGACAAGGCAAAAAAGAAAAGACTACCTAATTAATAGCGTTTTATTAATTCATGCATCAAGGATGCCGTCTGTCTATAAAACGGTAAATATCTATGTCATCTGTTTCTTATTAAAATATTCAATTCCTTAAAAAAATCCCAAAGTAATTAAAACTAGGAACAACCAAGAGAGAACATGGCAGCTGCTGTGTCTCACATGATATGACTACCATAAAAGGATTTCGCCTCACAAAAAAATAATACAAGACAGCATGCCAATGCAGGCAGTCCAAGACTCCCACTGACAAACATGTCTCTATACTACTATATTGCACTTTGTTTTAGTCTTATTTGACTAGCAGTCCTCGTGTAAATAATATAAACCCTTTCAGACCCTGACTCACACTTTCAAGATTCTATTTATATTTTCAGCAAGACTAGAGGAAGTGCAGGACATTTAATTGACAAGGCATATTGCGGCACCAAAGACCACCACACTGGGGCTAGTTTGGCGGTGCCGCACATGTACATCCCCGCTCTTGTACTCAACTAGACAGATCTATCATCAAACATGCACCATAGCAGTGCGGAGCTCAACTTTGGCATAGTATGCTACGAGAAATATGCAAACAAAAAACCTTTCCAATGTCGATCGCTTCCTTGGGACACATGACTCACAAAACAAATGTAATGCCTAAAACAATAAACCCCAAACAAGCTAGCCTAGTGGTATTTCGTGCCTTGGCATTGGTCCCAAACCTTATTGAGGCATGGCAACGAAGAGATACCTTTCAGGTCGGCCGCTAGTTACCACGCTTCAGAACACACTTCAAAGGTGGTCGCGCAATACGAAGATCCGAACAACAGGTCGGCAGGTAACAGTAATGCAAAATATCGGCCAGTGGTTGTTCATGGGCAGTCAACCTACTGGAACTTGTGCAACGGGAGAAGGAAGATGGCGGGGCGTCCGTTGCGTTTCAGCACATTCCCAGCCTAGATTAGCGGGTTTTCAGATAATCTTTACATCTCAAGACTCGGATGAACTTGAGGTCTGGATCGGTCCAGAATTGTACGAGCATTGTGCTCATGCCCGAAAGTGTGCAAAGCGTTTTGAAGCGCACACCAAAATGATCACACAGAAATACCGATAATCGGAACGTCGCTGCTACAGTGCGAGGGCCGTGTCAGCAGCTTCAGGATCGTCTAAGGCTACAGTCTGTTGCAGGTTTAAAATAGCACGACAGGCTCCCTCAGTGTGAAGCTTTTTTTTTCACTTTAGCAGAGCGAATGCTAGAGAAGAGACGAGTGAAAACCACCAATCATGGGGAGCAGAGAGCTTTATGGGAGGGACTTGTCCAGCTATTCGTAACCTGCAATAGGCCACGGCTACACGGCAGATCGTCTGCATGGCTCGGTAGGCCGGACCATATGGTCGAGTAGTCCCCGGAAGCAGCGATCCCGGAGGAATGGCACGATACGTGAGCTGTGCGGGGAGGCTCGTTCAAGCTGCCGTTTCTGTTTGCGTTCACCTCCGCACTGACAGATAGATAATGAGTGCCAGGACTAAGACCAGGACTACGACCAGGACTAGGACTATGATTTTTTTCTGGAAGGAAGGAACAAACAAAACATGGGTTTTAAACCGCAACGGAAATAAGCAAAGAAAAAGGGCAACAAAGGAGCATGCACCTCGGCTATAGTTGGTGCGACATAACTGGAAGCAATCCAAGTGTCGCGAGATGACGGGCGATTAAAAAAGGCGAACGGGCTGAGCGCTCAAAGGTGCAGCACTTGGTCCATTCGTCTTTTTCGCTTGTCTGCTGTTGTTCGAAGCACTGATCGTTTCCGTTCGCTGTGGAACTGTTTCCCAAATCATGCATGGCACTTCACAGGTCAGTCTCTTGCTCATACTTGGCTGCTAAAAACGACAAGCTGTGGCAAGCAGGAACTAAGTTAAATGAAGCAAATTAATTAAACATCACAAAACCCAGAGGTGTAGATGTGAAGAAAGAAGCCTATATAAACAACCTTTAATTTTGGGAAGGTCTCAATGACAAAAACAGAAATTGCATTATAGCATTTTGGTAAGAGTAAATAATTTGCAAAGTTAGGTACAGAACAGGTAGATGTCCTATTAGCTATTTTCTGGCTGCCACTCAATATCCTCTGACAAGAACACTGCAGGACTATCGAAGGAAATTTAATTTTTGTTACCAGCCTGTTGCTGATAACAAAAATTTTGGTCTGTTACCATTTTTTTATAAATCGAGAAATTATAAAGTGTTCCTTGGTATTCATTTAAAGAAACTAGTAACTTTTTCAGAACCTGTCTCTGATCGACCTCCGGCTTGCAATTTTTGGGGAGTTTCAATTTCCGAGTTTGTAGACAGCGGAACCTTGTTCGTACATTCCCATCCGATACATTTTCTCTGCTGTGTGTTCACAAAGGCTCACCCTGTTAAACTTCAATAAAGATAGGTGTATCAATTTCCCCATTTGTTGTGCTTGCCTTCCCAGTTCTTATATCCAGAAACTGACACGCCTCCCTGGCCACCTAGGTAGATTGCTCTTTCCATCAGCTCCATTCCCTTTTTTTCCCCCTCACCGTGCCGAGCCTCTTGTTCTTTCCTAGCCGACACGACCCTAGGCTTTGATTGAAATGGATTTGGGTATTTCAATTCTCCTCCTTCTATCTTTCCAGTTCTTTTTTGGACTCTGTGTGAGTGTACACTTCTGTTGCACATTGTGCTTGATCTGCCCCCGCCCCCTCCCCCTCCCCCTCCCTCCTCCTCCTCCTCCTCCTCCTCCTCCTCCTCCTCCTCCTCCCCTCCCCTCCCCTCCCCTCCCCTCCCCTCCCCTCCCCTCCCCTCCCCTCCCCTTCCCCTTCCCCCCGTTCTGGTTCTGTTAGTTTCAATGCATAAAACTCAAAGTTGGTAAACGTGTGGTGGATGGTTGCAGTGGCCGTGTGTCAAGCCTCATCGTTTTGCACCTTTATGCGTGTCAAGCTTCACCAGTTTGCACCGACGTGCTAGGAGCAGCAGCTGACGTGGAGTGAGTGCAAAGCAGGAGCATGTGTGAATCATAACTTTGGGTAAGAATGAAACAAAAAAACACTCAAATAATTTTAGAACCAAACCATTTTGTGTACCAAATTAAATTTTGTTTTGGCAATGTGAATTTTTTGATCAGTTAAAAAGCAAACCTCTCTACATTTAAATAATTTGTTTCCAACAAAAATTTTGGAAGTGGACGTGGGTAGTTTCATGACAATACAAAATTTGCATGCGGCTGATAAATGTGCATTCATAAATAAAACTCCAGCCGAATCTGTTAAGGATATTCCCAAGCTTCCATGCGCCCAGTGCTAAAGCTTGTAAAGTTTTCATGAAACTAATAACTGAGAGGGCCCTCGCAGTTGAAGGTACACAAGAGTTTTTTTTTATTCTTTATTTATTTTACTGACACTGCAGCTTGCAACTGAGAGCCATCGCAGAAGTGAAACAAGAGTGGTACAAAGGTTGTAATTAAGGTGGTCTTGAAAGGGTAAAAAGTTGGGGAAAAGTCATTCTTGAGAAAATGCCTTTAGACATACCCACCCAGCTCTCTGCAAAATATTATTGCTCTATCTAATTTTTAAGTATAAAAGAAAAATATGAAGTCTGAATTTTCTATTAACATTCAATAGGAATACATACTTCAAGGAATTTTTTCTCTCTCTACACTTTTTTTTACAAGTACTGATGCCTTACACGTGTTTTCTGAAGTTTGTCTTCGACAATATGAATACGTTTGGTGCCATTTTAATCGGGAAGAATGGAGCTGTGTGGTGATTCTATTTTTATAGTCTTCCAACTTAAAGGGGTTATGACACGAAAATTAAACGGATAGATTATTCTTGAAATCGAATGCTCATAGGCTACTTAGTATATACACCAAGTTACGCAATTTTTAGAGCTCTGATAATTGCAATATTCAATTTACGAATTTTTATAATTTTCATCTGGCGACCAGGCAACACTGCTCAAGTTAACCAGGCAACACTGCTCAAGTTAGTCACACCATGGTGTCCATAAACCATGTGACCATGAACACTCTCTCATTCTAGGCGCCTCCATGATCGCCCAAGCTCTTCTCGTCGCGGTACGAACAAAACTGCTCAAACAGCTCGGTAAACTGAAAGCTATTCTCGCTCTCGCCCCCCGGCCGGTTGACCTTCCACCCTGCATACGCCTGCGAGATATTCCCGGACGACGGTGACCATAGCGAACTCGTCGTCGCGGGAGCTCGTCGCCAGCGGGTCGCAGTCAAAATGATCAGCTTCCAACATCTCTTGATAGCAATCACTCTCATCGCTGCTGCGATCAATGTCGAACACTTCGAAAGGCGATTAATGCCGTAGTTGTAATCGTCACAGACCGGATGCTGGAAACGTGGAAGGTAAACGAGAAGCAGAGGCTCGAGACGCCAAGATAGCCAAGTCTGTGAGTGCGTGCAATTAGACACCGCGCTGGAGGCTGGCTATGTCATCAGCCTCCAGGTCCGCCCGGATCTGCCCCTCCGAGGGGCCCGCACATAAATCTATTCATCCACAAAATTATCGCGCCTTTTTCAAAACAAATTTAGCAGGATTATAGGAACATACAATGGGTCCTAGCAGTATAGTTATGTAATATTTTATTTTTAACGTGTCATAACCCCTTTAAGAGTTCTATCCAATTAATTACTTTCTTAAATAACAAGAAAGCACGTCTTTTACACTATAATTACAATTGTTCTTTAGTAACATACCTAACCCTCTCAGGTGAGATCTAAAATTGCGTCACCACACAAATTACACCTTTGTGAATGCAGTTGCATTAAAAACTTTGATAATTTACGAATAATCTTTCTCTAACGACCCGTAACAAATGACCTAAAATCAAATTAAACCAATCTCCCATAACTCAGGTTCTAGTAAAGATATTCAATATCTGATTGCATATTTGGAATAGGTGTGAGATGTGTTATATCAGTGCATAATATGATAAGTATTCTTTTATAAACAAGAAAATTACTCTAAAGCCCCACATCTCCCCTAGTTTCTGCCCCACACCCGTCTGTGAACACACGTTTATTTCCAGATGATTGCGTGTTGTTTAAAGAAATATCTTTGCCTGACGATCAACAATTAATGAGCGCAAGCGTCAATGACATTCAAAGTTAGTGCTGTACGTAAGACATGAAATGAAATTTTGAAAAAACTGTTTATCTGCAAATTACAAATTAAAAAAAAAGCCATTACACTTCAATACAGACTAAATAACATTCCAATCGCCCAGGTTGATGACTACAAGTACCTCGGAGTGACCATAAATGAGAACTCAAATCGGACGACCCGTATAAAAAATACATCCTCGGCAGCCTTCAAGAAGTTGGGTTTTTTAAGGCATAAGCTGAAATACGCTACTCCAAATGTGAAATAACTGGCTTACAATTCACTCGTTAGATCTAAACTAGAATATGGTAGTATTACTTAGGACCCTCGTACGAAATCTAATTCTGAAATATTGGAACGAGTTCAAAGACGTGCTATAAGGTTTATATACGGAAAATTTAAGAAAACTGATTCGCCCTCACTTTTGATGCAAACCAACAAAATATGAACTTTAGAGCACCGTCGAAGGATAGCCCGTTTGAAGTTTCTGCACTCACTTTTTACATGAAAACTGTCCTTGGATCCAGATTACTACTTAAAGCCGCTTTCTACAAGATGAGCTAGGCACCATCATGAACATTCCTTATCACCGTACTTTGCACGCACTAACCTGTTTAAATTTTTCCTCTTACGATTGAAGAATGGAATTTTCTCCCTTGTTCGCTTATTTCATCTTCGGATTTCGCTTCATCATTAGAACAGTTATTGTAGTGGTGTTTTTGTATTTCTATGTGTTTTGGTGTTTTTATATTTAGTGCTTACATGCTTCGGCATTGTGCTTCTTGGCTGGCTACCTACTGGTTTTGCTGTGTCGTACCGCCTCTTTCATATTTTCTGCCGATTTGTATACCTTATTTCTTATTTTGTTTTTTGTACAGGTTCTTGAGTTTGTACCCTGGGCATCCTGCTTGGACCACGTGTGGTCAGCAGTATTTATTAAATAAATAAATAAAAAATAAAATAAAGGGGGCACTGACAGGTCAAAATTATTTTTTTTTTTATTATCCGAAACAACTAAAAACAATGCCTCGACATTACCCTCAAAATTAGAAACTTAGGAACTCAATATTTGTGAAGTAAAAAACAATTTTCAAAAGCCGAATTTGAAGTTCCCACGCGATCCGTGCCAGTGCAGTGACATCAAAAGATTGAGTTGTCCTGCAACTCGAGTTTTTCTCAACCCCCCGAACCGCCACGACCCAAAGTGTCGTGTTCGCCCACGTCCCGCTCTCCTCCATGCGTGCCGCCTATTGCTGCAAGCAGACCATGTTTTACTTTCGAATTTGCAGTTCTGTTAGGGCCCATTCAGTGATCTCAAAGTCTTTGAAACGGTGCGAGGTAGAAGAGAACATGCACTAGACTTTTGTGAGCGACGTGAGAGGCCACATCGCGCCGGTTCTGCGTGAAAGGTTGCCGCCGGCGGAGTCACAACCAAACTACGGTACACAGACACCAAACATAGTTCTTCTGACCATTTGATGATTTCCTTTTCAAAGTATGAGAGGTCGTCAGGTACCTAAAAAGAGAACTTTATCCGATTCCCGGACTCACCAATCATCCCCAGTGCTACATGTGCCAAGCGCCGCAGCACTGCCATGTTTTTCGAGGGAGGATAAAAAGCCAGGAGGCGACATCACTCCGGACTCTGATTTTCGGTATTTCAAAACATGTTTTGTGAATACCGTTAATAAATATTATAGAAATGCCGCTTAGAGAGCTTCTAAATTTTATAATCGATTACGTCACAAATAAAAAGAAGCGAGGAGGTAAGAAGGGAAAGAAAAAAACACAAAAAATAAGGTGCATGGGGAAATTTGTTTTTGTGCGTGTCTATGACCAACTTGCATCATTTTAGACAATAAAAAAAAACATACGACCTTTGGGGTGTCAGTGCCCCTTTAAACAAGATTTGACATAACAATTACAGCCATGACTAAACAGAGGGATTAGGAAGTCCTTGTGCTAACCAGATTTCCTATAAATCTAGAAAAAAACACACACACACAATATTATGATTTAGGAAGCAAATAGCTCATCAGGATCCCACAGTATAACTGCAGCTTGTGAAGATGTTTTTTTTTAATAATGTGAGGGTGTCATTTTGCTCTGATAAAATGCCTTGGCCCTAAGCATACGGTACCCTTGTGGCAAAGTGAGCCATACAAGATCGATTACAGGATCACTTGCAGATAGAAGCCTTTTGATACTTTTCTTACCAGAAGGGATGACGCTTACTGCAATTCAGTAATCCCGGTTTCACGCACGACGAGAGAAGCTTATGTGCACGATTCGTCGCCGTACCATGCACAGAGTGCATGAAGTATGTATGGTGGACAGCACAGCACATATCGTGCTTTGTGTGGTGCCCACCCTGCACGTGTCACTTCTCTGGAGTGCACCAGTGCTTGGTGAGAAGCACTCTCAACACAGCTAACTAGCCTACACATACAGGCCTAGAACAGTGAGAAATATTGCAAAATTTTCTTGTAGCATGGGTGTTCGACTTGAAGATTAAATCAAATAGTTAAATTATTCTACCCGAGAATCCAGACTTTCGCAAACTCGCACATGTCTAACGTAAAGGCATTGCAGCATAGCGTGGCCTGGGTTGTATGTCAGTGCCCGCTTGCGGTGAAAACAGAAGCAGTTGAAGAAACAGCAATTTCTGCCCCTGCAAAAGCTAGCACAATGTTAAAGAAGACTTGATACCTGCTCCATGCTTCATAAATGTGAAGAGTTAAACCCGACCGCAACTTAGGCAAGAGAAAAGATTATTTTAAGGTTTGAGTAAGTGTGAGGGGACCCCTAAAACAGAGTCCCAACACTGCAGTGGCATAGCTAGGTAGGGCAGCTTATAAAACTAAACCCCTCCCCTCCCTTTCCTAAAAAGAAAATTGTGTTAATGAAATTGTTTTGTTGTCAGCAAACACCATATCCAGGTGAAGGTAAATCAATGCAAAAGCAGGAAATCACCTTTCTGGCTTTGCTTTGGTAGCGGACCGCACGGCGCGTCTCTTGAGTGGCAGTGTCGATGTAAGCTGAGGCATTCTTGACGTGGTACTCGATGCGGTCCACCATTTCACCCTGCACGGCACGAGGGAAGTGTTGTAACAGAGAGACATAGAACCAGGAGACATTGCACAGGTTCTCGAAAGGTCATTTCTAACACCACAGCCGATGGCCTAACGCAGTTCCTTAGAAGTCACACTGGCTCAGACATAACACCATGGCACATGGACATAACATCATGGCATAACACAATGGGCTAGTGACTAATTATTTTGTCGTCATCGTAGATCAGTAGCGAAACATTTCAAAAAGATTTTTGTTTCTCGATGATTGCAGGTATTCAATCATCTTCAGTGGATTGGTGGTCGCGTTTGTTAATGCTCAGCAGCTCGAAACATGTGGAGCAAAAGCTCGCGTTGCAGAACTCGGGAACCCTAGATTCAATCCCCACCTCTGCCCGCTTCGATCTGGATGAGCATCGTACCGGCGTGCGAAGATGAATCACTACTGCGTGATGCACATTAAAGGGGCCGTGTAACAATTTTTGGACTTCGGTCAAATAATTCTGGCACACGTTAGTTGTTTTTAAAAAAAACAACTAAACTCTTACACCCTCTTAAGAGTCGTGAGCACAATGACATTTAGCAGAGTGCACTGGGGACTCAGAACGTCCGGTTGGGTTCTCTTTCTGAGCATTCAGTGCGTGCTGCCTCTGCTTGCGATTCACATGGCAACCTTGAAGTACAGTGCTGGAAGGTTTGTCTGAGCGGTGTGGAGAGGGGGAGAAGGAGAGGGGGGATGCACTTGCCTTGTTGCAAGTCGAACTGGAGTGCGACTCGAAAGAGGAAAGGTTTTGTCCACCTCGGGCAGATGGCACCATTAAAACTAAATATACGTAGAACAACTTTCTTGATGATACGAGGCCTTTTGATATATTTACTCATGTTGAAACAACAATATTTATAAAAAATGGTTTTAGATTGAGCACATAATGGGGCGCGTCTTGCAAACTTATCAAAATTATTAAAATGCACCCAGGTTGGCATCACGCCGCCGCCAGTCGCGGCTGCAAATTGCAAAATATTTTTGTTCTTTGCTTTGCTAATATGCAACAGAAGGGTGATTTCAGATCAGCCACCAAAGGGTGGCTGGTCGACATTTTTAAATCAACTGATGTTTTTATATGCTATTGCCTATAGTCGGATGCAACCTGAGAACAATCTTTTAGCTCCACCCACAAGCGCATTGCGCCCATCTGAAGTGCCTCCGCCGTCGAGAAAGTAGTTCGCTAGCAACATTGCCTTTTCTTCCTCCAGGAAACGTGTCTTAAACTACTACAATATTTATTTAACTCATTCAGGACATTTAAATAAGTTAGAATACGTTTTTGTCAACGAAATAGCTGTTTAGTAAAGAAAGAAAGTCATGTCCAATGTACCGTCTTCCCAATTCATTTTCTGTCCAAGATATTGTCTAACATACCGTCTTCCAGCGCCTTCGATTGAGGGAAAGCGGTGCTAAGCCTCGCGCCCGCTTCGAAATTTTCGTTGGCGATATCGTCGCTGGATTCTCACGTTGTTGCGCAAAACCTGCTGCAAACGCAAGCCGATACCATTAAGATCTCGTGGCGTAACCTCGGGCACGTAAAACACGGTGCAAAAAATCAGAATAATTGTCACGAGAAACTAGCGTCGCGTTGCTAAGGCCAGCAGCCATGTTGAGCTTTTTTTCTTTTCAAAAGGATCGCGATTGGTCCACGGAATCGTGACGTCATGAAAACGATTGGCTGGCGTTTCTCGGCGTAGGATTACATTTTCCTCTGAGAGGCATTTCCGGTTTTTTCTTAGCTTGCAACCGACTATAGTGTGTTATTGTAGTGAGTGCGCAGGCGAGCTGGTGGAAATTAACCATTCTGATGTTAGCCTGAGACTGAGGCAGGAAAAGAGGAAGTTTCAAAGTAGAAGAAAAAGGAACAGTCGAGGATACGTCTCTAACACAACAGAGCTGTGTTAGAGACGTATCCTCGACTGTTCCTTTTTCTTCTACTTTGAAACTTCCTCTTTTCCTGCCTCAGTCTCAGGCTAACATCAGAATGACTATAGTGTCCGGAATAAACGAATCCACACTTAGTTTTGACCAGAAAAAATATTTGGGGACAGGAAAAATCGTAAGGCATAAAAAGGTGGACAGTTGCATTAACGCGCACTGATGGAGGGGGCACGTTTGAGAGAATAACTAAAACGATAACATCAGTAGAGTGCTAATACTTTTTAGATGCAAACTATGGGTACAACTTGCTTGTAATGTAAAATAATAATATTTATTTCAATTTTATTTATTTTTCTAAAAATTGCCAAACATGCCTGCTCGAATGACAAATGCAAAAAATTTGGAGGCTTCTATCTCATAAAATAATTTGATCATTATTAGATAATTTGCAGATAGTATTCTACTTATATATGGCTATTATTTAAAAATAAATAAGGTATCTGAGTGATACGATAGTCGGGATATATTCAGGCAAACATGGAAAAAAAATCAAACAACTAAAAATTCCGATGCGAATAAAAAAAAAACACCGCCCCACCGTCCTCCGCAGGGGCCAGCCAGGCGGCGCGACATGGCTGAAAGCAGAGCGCAGAACACGTGATACAGTAGTGCACAGGAAGAGGGAGGAATAATTTCCCGATCCTCCTCCCCCCTCTCTGGCCATGCCTGACACATGACAACAGAAAAGGGAAAGTGGCGGCTAAGCGCACGCCATCCTCTCCTTTTTTATTGGTGCATGGGCCGCAGCACCAGGAAGAGGACTTCCTTGAGGGGTGGCGTTTTTTGGCACTATGACGTGTTGCAGCCAATGGGAATTTACTGCTCGTTGGCTCAGCTAGAATTGAGGTGCCGTTGTGGTTATAGACAACGCCGGCTGTTCTCCATGGGACCCAGTTAATGCTTTCGCATTAAAAAGACTGCAGATTCTTTCCAAGTTAGAATTGTTGCATCGCCCCTTTAAAAGGGTAGGAATACGAAATTCCAGCGCTCATTTTTTAGCTTTGATGTGTTGCATGTTGCAGCATAACCTCAAAAATACCAGACTTTCGTTGAAAGGCACAAGCAAACTAATTTTAAAGCTAATTAAGAAATCTTTCAACGTGCACCTGGTGGATGCATGTGGGGCCTATTCAGGAGGCAATCTGGCAACGCTGGGGAACTCGCTGTGTAGTCATGACGTAGCAAGCTCCATCGGAGCAGCACCGCTCTTTGGCATTTCAGTATTTCCCTTCTTAGCTTTTCTCCCGCATACTGTACCTAACAGTCCAAGAAGACTGAAAGGAAGGACTCCCCTCTTTCCCGGACCCTCGTTCGTGCACCCGGATACAGCCATTCTCTCCCTAGAAGATTAGCCCGTTGCTCAAAACTCGGACAAAAGTTGCCTTTCCCACCCCGTTCAGCCCTAAGCTGACAGTGCTGTGGAAGCTACACGCTCCTTGGGCCAGCCACACGCTCGTCACCCCACGAGTACTTCCAACGGCTCGGTTGTAACACCTTGACGCTATTGACACCTCCACAATGCCGACAAGGCCACCAAGGGCAAAGCTCATAACCACGCTAGGATTGCCACGTCACGAACGCGGGGAATCTTTTCTTTCTGTTTTTGTTTGCGCCGGATATCCCATGATGCATTGCGCTCTCCGTTCGCTTCTCGTTGAGCGCTTGCTCAAGTGCACCGTTTGGAACGAAAAATATATCCAGTCGTTCAAAATATAAACGCGCGATTATCATTTACGGCTATTATCCGTCATGCTTGACTCATCTCCAAACGAATTTTGAATATTTCAATTTTTGTTTCCGTACCCCTTTAAACAGCACAATCTAGCAGTGGTACTGTACTGGCCAAATTTTTCATTTACAGCGTAAACAAGTGTTGCCGTACCTCATAGGCCAACTGATTTTACGTTGTCTAAACATAAATGTCAAGTTTTTTTTGTGCTGAAAAACATAAATACATTATAAACGGGAACAGCAGAAATGCACAAGCTCACACGTAAAACATGAATTAATAAAAAGCCACCGAGCACCAATGACTGAAGGTGAATGAGCTCTCGTCTGGGTTTGGTGGCTGTTCGGTCATTTTTGACATGGGTGTCGCTCTGCACTAATGGCCTTGAGACCAACCTGAGGTGGCGCCACTGTAGCACTATCATCATCATCGAAGCAGAAATAAAAGCATAGCCGCCCCACAGGCTCTCCACGTCTGCGTGCGGGACAGTGTAGATTCTTGCATTTATTTTGTTGCACTGGAAAACAATTTTTTAGCACAAAATGTTGCAGAACTGTTCGGTGCATGCTTAGGTGAAGATTGAACTGTGTTACCAGTGTATGGCCTAAATTTAAATAATTGCTTGTGTAAATGCGCCGTCTGCTCTAGGCCGACGTTGGGAAGCATGGATCACCACGACGGATACCTGTTACTGGGTGAACTGTGCTATTTATGTTTAAATATTTGTTTCTTTTAAAAGAGATGCATCGGTTCACCACCGTGGAAATCGCAACAGAAACAAGGAATTCCAACCCGTGTACTTGCATACAATACTGGTACTGTGGGCTGTGGAATTGCAGGTCCTACGCATTTTTTCTTGTTGCATAACTTTTAGCTTTTGCAGTAATATACTGTAAACAACTTATTTTTTGCGGGCTCAATATTTTGCGGTTTAGGTCAAAGCTGAAGTTTTTAAATAACTTGCGGGTTCTAATTTTTGCGACGCGGTGGGATCTCAATATAGGTTCCAATATGTTTACATTTTACCGGAATAGTTCGCGGGACCTATTTTTTGCAAATTGCAGGCGATTCACGAAAATGAGGTCCTCGCAAAATTTGAGTCGTTTACAATAAACATTTCACATTGAGAGAAGTTAGTGCTCTATTAGAAATTACCGTGCTATTGCTAGCTTCTACAAGTTAGGAAGTTCCGTGGCAGCCAATGTTTCCCTTTACTGTGCCATGGTGTGGGTAAGTTTTTTGGAGATGGTACAATTCTACTAGGGTGTGTTGCGATGAGTAAAGAGTGCCTCTTCTAGTTACGTTCCGCAAACTCTTCATTGGCAGGACAACCGAGACAAGTGAACCAAACTGTCTTAATATATCTACCACAAGTGGAATAAACGAGCGTAACCGAACAACGCATCAGTGTGCGTGTTATTGATGCCCTTCTCGGTAGTGTGGGTTCACCCGCTTCAATTTTCTTGGAGAGGGCTGGATGTCAAAAGGTTAATATTATAAATTTCGGGCTAAATCATCCTTTATTCGAACGAAGTAGACTGCAACTCCAACAAATGACCCACACCACGACACAGATAGCATCGGCCGCAGTGACACTCTTTTACTGATGAGGGGCGGCGACTCTCGCGATTCTTTTCAATAACCCTATGCCCTAACCTAATGCATGATGGGACTAGGCAGTTCATTGATTCGCCTACAAATCATTCAAATGACGCATTAAATGTGACAGATAATTTTTTTTTTTAATTGGACTTTTGCGATGGAGAAAGTTGGGAAAAGAAAAACAAAAGGTAGAATATCCCGCATTAATACTTCTGACGTCTTTATTTCTTTTGGGACGCAGACATGCACATTAAACCATCTCAGCGTGCTTGTGATTGTCATTGAGGGTGATTATATCGTTTAAATAATAACTTAAAAATGACTTCACTTTAAAAGGCTTCCCGCATTCATTTTCTCTAGTCGTCACAATGTGACGTTTGAAATGGGACTGCAATGAGCCAATTATGATAAAGTAAAAGAAAAGTGTGGGTTTGACGCCTCTCATGTAATATGATTGGAGAAAAATCAATGAATAGCGTGGATTATCTCTTTCCTATCTGATCGCTCTCAGTCTGTTTATGCTAACAACTTCCACTGCCATTCTTGTTACTTTTAGCGTCCCCCAAGGAACTGTCCTTAAGCCTGTACTTTTTCTAATAACATAAATGATCTCCCACTTTACATTTTTTTCCTCTCTTAGTCTCTTCGCTGATGATTGTGTTGTGTACAGAAAAATAACAACCCCCAATGACTTCCTAAGATTACAGACAGACATTGTTAAAATAGCTGACTGGTGCGCTACAAGGCAGATGACTCTTAACATTGATAAGTGTAAATGCATGTGTTTCTCCCATTCTCCATCTTGCCCTTAGCCAAACCTCACTCTTCACGGTACAGCCCTTATTTATACTAATGAGTATAAGTGTCTAGGTCAGGGATGGCCAGGCTGACCCGGCCTAAGAGCCGCAAGCAAAACCACGAAACTTCTAAGAGCCGCGAAGGGGGGGGGGGGGAGGGGAGGGGAGACGGAAGGGCAAGTTTAAATTTTGTTCGGAGTCTGACTGTACGTATGAGTGCACAAGGCTGTACGACAGTACGTATGAGGGTACAAGGCTGCCAAACCGCAAGCCATACTTTATTCTGCCTGAAATCCCTTCTTTTTTTCCTGGGGAAACGCGGAAAGAGGCCGGGGGGGGGGGGGGGGGGGGGGGGGGGGGGGGGGGTCCACTTATGAGGGATCCGCGAGCCGCACTTGGAGCACCAAAGAGCCGCATGCGGCTCGCGAGCCGCGGTTTGGCCACCCCTGGTCTAGGTGTTCACATTACTTCTATCTCTCCTGGCAGACTCATATTAATGCTATCATAGCATCGGCTAACTGCAGTTTAGGATATTCACGCCGCAGATTTAAGTCTGCCTCTCCTGTCCTTAAATGTCTTCTCTATACTGCCCTTGTTCACCCTAAATTAGAATATGCATCTTCAATTTGGAGTCCTCACCAACTAATTTTAGCAAACAAAATTGAGTCTGTCCAGAATTGCGCCGTCCATTTCCTCCAGTCTGATTACTCACGTTTCTCCAGTGTGTCTCGCATGAAAGCCCAGCTTGACGTCCCTAATCTTTCTGTTCGTCGTAACATTTCCCGCCTTTGTCTTCTGCACAAGATTTATTACCAACCAACCTTACATCACTCCCTGCTTCACCCGCCTACTTACATCTCTCCGAGGTTTGATCATCCCTGCAAGATAGCCCAGCCCAAATGCAACTCAACGGCCTACCTTTATTCTGCTCTTCCGAACGCCATTGGGAGCTGGAAAGACCTCCCAGAGAATATCGTCACCATCAGCAACGGCACCTTGTTTCAAAGCATTATATCTAATCGCCTTACTAACCCCCACCCCCCCCCATAATGCCTCTGGCCTTGAGGGTCTTCGAAATAAATAAATAACAGATATGTCGATTGATGCATTAATTAAAGAGTGGCAATTAGTCGGGTTAATTTTTTAATCAACCCGAACTCCTATCGACATTCAATGTTCTATAAACGCCATGGATTGTCTGAGATAACAAAAATTTGCGGAACCAGCGACCACAGCACTAAGATTATGGAAGCATCCGACTTATTTTTTCGCTTTGCTGAATTTCCTTGTGTGTAAAACAATACAATGCAGCCCTTAGTAAGAAGAAAAAACAACAAAATGAGGCGTAATGCCGAATTAGAGTGCAGCTCTTGAGGAGGAGATGAGGGTACAGTGGGGAGGGTATGTCCCTCCTCCCCCTCCCCCTCCTCCTCTCCTGCACCCCTCCCATTTAGCGGAAAATTTTCGCTAAATTTCCTGCTAAATTTAGTGGGGAAATATTCTCGCTAAATTTAGCGGGAAATTCAGCAAACATTTTCCCACTAAATTTAGCAGAAAAATTTTTGCACTAAAAACTTTCCCCGCTATATTTAACAAAATATTTCCCCGCTAGCCTTAGTGGGGAAATGCCCCATAATGCAACACGCAGTTACGCCGCCGCCGCTCAACCCAGAAACCAGCACCCAAGAGCTGCACTCTAAAACAACAAACATTAATAGAGCCGGAAACAGGCTTGCATCTTCGAGATCCATGCTTCTGAACGTGCGCCCGTAGCAGACGACGCACAACGGTAACCCGCCTTCGTATGTTACCAATTTTGGCCGCATGGCTGCGACACGGTTCGATCTTGAGGTGAATACTCCATAACACAGCAAAGGCTACGGTCCCACTGACCCAGTGCGTCGGATTGAGACATGTGAGTCTATACTCAAAAGTTGCGTGCAGTGCTGTCAAAGCCACAAAGGGGGGGGGGGGGGAGGGAATGAAAGAGAGGAATAAAGAAAGAGAAGGGGAGATAAAGAAAGAGAGAGGGAGAAAGAGATAATGAAAGAGACAGACTTTCGTATGAATTTTGAGTGACAGGCCAATCTTCTAGGGGGAGGAAAGCAATGTCCGGGACACACAAAAGAGGGTCTGTGTAAGAGGAGTTCTTCCCTTGCCCCCTTCTCCAACTGCTTGAGCTACACTCTTGCTGGTGTACCTTTGGCAAAAAACTGTCAAGTGCTTTGCCTCTGTCGCTCCGATCAGCTGGAAGGGGCCGGGGCGTTCACCCTTTGCCAAGTTACGGTGAAATGAAGTATAGTTGAAAGGTGTACATATCTCACCTGGCTCTCTACAAGCAGGGCCATGTCCATGAACATGTCATGCAACTCCCGGATGCTCTTCTCCAGCTTGATGATGTCGTGGTGGCGGGCCTCGATCTCCGCCAGCGTCTGCCGCGCCTTCTGAGTCTCCATGACAATCTGCAGTTTGGCAATGCATGCTGTTCTCTCAGAAAAAACACAATGACCAAAGATGGCGACTATTCAATTAGGTAACATCCTGATTACGAGTCTGTCGGCGGCCCCTTAGTTGTCACTGACAGTGGTAAAGAAATGCGTGCCACTGCGGTGTATATCAATGCTCCTTTAAAGTACCATGTTCTTTACAACAACAAACTATATCTGTAACGGAGCTAAAACCTTATCATTGCTACATGCTGCTTCGGAATAGGCCAACCGTATCCTCAGTTATCTTGGTCTGTCAGTATCATACCTCCACAATGTGGCTTTTGTGTTTATCGTGAGTTATTCTATCCCCAGAGACTCCAAAAAGCAAGCTTCGACGCACCGTGAAATATCACGTTCGGCGCAATATGATAAAACTCGCACACGGACAGTTTCGAGAAACGACTTCATGCACAAATGTTTAAAAGCTTTTACCTAAAAAAAAAAAAAAAAAAATACTTTGGGGATGTATGCCTATCCAACAAAGAATGTCCGAAAAAGCACCAAGGATTAATTTACCTAGGGATTAATTTACACAGGGACTGCTGGTGTGTAACCAAAGCCTCAGATAGACAGCTCCTTTTCTGCAATGACCCCTTGTCAAATTGCCGGTTCATTGGCCGGCCGAAAGTCGCCGTTTTCATTTCCTCACACCCGCCCATGAGAGGTGACCAAGGTGTCCCAGAATGTAGTCATGAGAGCCACTAAGTAAGCTACACTACGGTCAGTGGCATAGCCAGGGGAAGAGCTTATGGAGCTTCAGCCCCCTTCCCCTTCCCCCCCCATTTCCGAAATTCAATAAACCCTATAATATACACAAATTTTGACACCCCTCCACGCCCCAAGCCATGGACATCCCAGCCACCTCAACCCCCTATCTTCCCGAAAAAAATTAGTAATGACTATTTCAACGGCCACCGTCAAAATATTTTACAAATTATTTCAACGTCTATGACATCACTTCTTTCAAACATCCAAATAGTGGCTTTATTATTTCGACGTCCGCCTTCAATGCAGCCGTCACAGTGGTAGGGTGGAAGCTGTTTCGTGGTTTCATTCTGTTTAGTTTCTGATGGTATTGTCGGTGTTGTGTTGACGATTTGACGGATTCATGTGTTGCGTGACTAAAAATTTTCCGTCCCAGTTGGCAGTGGAAATGTCTTGTTCGGCGTGTGTGTGGGACTGGCTCGACAGTTGATCCTTTCGGACCTGACACGCCCGGTGGCGATGTTCTTAGCTCACATGTTATTTCGGCACGTGTCTCACTTAAAATTTTGAACTACAACAAAGGCGAGCTAGATATCCCTCTGTCTTGCCTGCATGTAACAAATGTAAGTATGCACACTAGGTAACACTGAGAAATTTGGCAGCTTTTTGTGCCTTTATATTGTGTGAGCTCGTCTTCGCATGGTTGCAATCTCGCTTTGCATCTGGCTCCGCGCCTCTTTTTAACCGGGTTTCGTGAGTTTGTTGTTTATGTGGTTTAGATTTTCTGTTTGGCTCGTGTATAACGACCTGATACACTGAGTTAGCTACGAAACGATCATGATGTTAAATAAAAGGTTGTGAATTCCGCAAACATTGCCTGCTTGATGTTTCTTAACCGGTGCAAACGAACAAAGGTTCTGGCTCGGTTGTGCAAGATACACGCATTTTACAATCGACTGCAAATTACATGACACGGCATACAGCTCCTTTGAGTATATAAAACATGTGAAATAAATCATGAAAAGTAGCGGTGCCGGATTCTGTAATGTTAAGCACAACCGAGCAAATCTTACGTGCGGCCTGATAGCTGAAGTTTTTTTGGCATTCCACATCACTTAAAAGTTCATAAAAAAAACAGCAGCCGATTGGATGACATTTGTCTTCAGAAAATATGAGTCCAACCGCGACGCTGCCTGCAAGCGAGATTATGTATATATATCAATGCGAAAGCATTAACTGTCCCATGGAGACGTCATCAGCTTTAAAGCAGCGCCAAACGGCACCTTAAATCCTTTCTCCAAGCAAAGCCAACTCCCAGCTATGAAACCATGCGGAAAGCCTAGACAGCGGCACTTTGTTTCCTCGATCAGTTTCGTCGATGCGTCAGTTTCAACGATTGCCACCCCATGGTGCTGCGTGTCCGCGCCGAGAGCGCGCCGATAACATGAAACGTCCAAGGTCAGAGCAGCAAGGAGAGCTGGGAGAGCGCGCAATCGGCCGACGCAAATACGGCCGACGCAGAAGAACGACAACTATGCTTTCGCATCCACAACTCTAAAGTGCTTAGGTGTACCTCGAGCCTTTTTTTTACCGCCACTTTCGATCGCTCCCCAGTCCGGACTCTGAAGCTCCAAAGTTTTCCAAGACACGAAAGTAATGACCAAATTATTTTGACGGGGGACGTCAAAATGTTCTTAAAAGTATTTTGAGATCTTCAGGAAGTGGCGCCATGGACGTCAAAATATTATTCCAAATTATTTTGAAAGTGGACGTTGAAGTAGTCACTGCCAAAAAAAATTGTAGAGCCCTTCCACTTCACGTGAAGCTGTTATTTTTGCGACGTCTAGGACGATGCCTAGAGGACGACGTCTAGGACAACCTCAAGGACGACTTCTAGGACGACGCCTAGGACGACCTTTCAGACGACCTCAAGGATGACTTCTAGGATGACCCCAAGGGCAATGCCTAGAGATGGTAACAAGGGATCAGGACCTCACTATCTAATAATGCCAAGGAAGGCAGACCCACGCTGGTTGACCCCTCTTTTTATTTTTATTAATTCATACTTGCCACGACCAATGGGGAGTTTTCTGTCAACATCCGCGGACACATTTTTCCCCAGATCCTAATGCATTACAGCTTCGCTGTAAAAATTCCTGGCTACGCCACTGGCTATGGTGCCTGGAACGCATCTCTGACTGGTGTGTTTGGCATCTCGTCCCGCCCATACATCAAAAGTGGTCCCCAAGTGACAACAGACGACGTTTCAAAGGCCGGAGTGTCATGCTGTCGGACTTTGCGATCCCGGCGGTGGGTCGTACAAGTCGCCGTCATTCCGACTCTCGGTTGCTGAAACGTCCGTGGAACGTCAAACCGGAGAGCGACCCGCAGCGGAACAGGCGTCTCCGCTGTGTCATCTGCCGCCACCGCTGGGACACGGCCAGGATCACGACCGGCGACAGCACGGCACTTTCACGACGTCGTCGGGCAAAAAAGACGAGGGATCGCTTTTCTGTACGCAATAAATGTGCAAGTCGGAGACGCGCCCCAGGCACCACGGCTACGCTTCAGGGAAACAACACTTCGGCCATCTTGGTGCTTAAAATCACTGTTGCCAGTTGACTGAAGCTTTATCCGAAGTCGCGGCAAACGTTTTTCAGTCCTCCAAAATTGTTAAAACGGTCTTTGACAGAGGAACACGATATCGACCTAGCTTCCCGACGCCAAATCTAAACCTCGGGAAGTCGTGTTTTCAAGTCGCAGCTATTACTGCCAATGCGACCATTTTCGAAAATCACCGGTTCGCGAGGTTCTGGTACGAAGATATAAGAGCACGTGCTCAAGAAAAAACGGGTACCCTCTCGACCGAGAAAGCTAGGTCCTGCTGGCTCCGTCGAGTTGCGCGGTAACCTAGACTGGGCTCCCCCAAAGTTTTTTTTGTGCCCATTGTGGCTTACCTTTTTGCACCCCCAAAGTTTGTTGTAAGACGCTTCTTCTTCCCCCCCTCCCCCTCCTTCGTAATGCACGCATTGTTTCGTCCTGGGAATCCACAAACCTCATTTTCGACAGGTGGTCCCACTTGTCGCTAAAATGTGGACTGCAACCACCCTGTACTGAGTGCCGAAATGGCGGCACCCAGAAGGTAACCAGGGAATGGAGTACCGTTAAACTAAGCATTGATTTTCTAGTGGCTGTAGCGGTCACTTTTCCACAATGATTTGCTGGGGGAGACTATATAAACGTGAGTTCTGTCAATGAACTATAATTTCTACACTCGTAGCTTCTTAGGTTTAAACTATAGTTTCCTCTCCTTGTCTCAGTATAGGTTTATGTGTGGTGGAACAAACACTTTATGGTCATAGCATGATATTGGGGAAATGGTAAGCGGGAGGGGGTCTTGCAAGACCATGTGTACCTTCGTGAACACAAGGGCAAAATGGCACTTACGCCCTGAGTGAATATGGCGGGGTTTCCGCTCTCCAGCATCTCCTCAATTTCCTCATCTGTGGTCATTTTCCCAGCTGCAAGAGTCATTGGAAAATGGGTTTACAGAACAACCTCAAATCGATATTCTCTTTTCTAGATAGCACAAATACTATACAGTATGAGTTTTTCGAAATAAAACTTTACAGACAAATAAATTTCCGCTTGCCTAAGCGTGGTGAACATTTAGTCTTTGCCGAGCATGAACACGCGCAGCAATGAGTAGAAAAAAATAAACAAACTCTCAACTGAAGCTGCTAAACAAGACCAGTGCTGTTATTTTTGTTCTACAAACTAGGAGGTACCATGCACACACAAAATATAGACTTATATACGTAAATGACGTCATTCAGTATAAAGATAAGAAAGATGGTCATCCTCGAGGAACTGACCATATGTTAGAATTACATGGGGGACAAATCTCTGGCATGTCTCTACTGTACAGTATTGTAATTCATACTTTCAGGTATATGGATTGCACTAAGCTATTGTGTCTTTTGGTGAACCATTTATCATTCTAATATTTCATCAAGAAAATGTTCAGAACAAAATTAACAGCATCGTTTTAGAGCTACCAAAAGATGCTTATGCTATTGCAGTCACAATAGCAATTTTCTTTTATTTCTTTTCAAATATGCCAAGTGAACCATATGATATGAATCTCCCAATAATAAAACTAGGTTATATTAGCTGCATTTGGCGTACTGTCAGGTGACAAAAACTCTAGTTTAACTGCCTCTCAGCCTTTTCTTAATTATTAATTCTGAATTGCATTTTACTGAAGCTAGCTCAGATTTTATGAGCGCTTTTTGCTTGTCATATACAGTTGAACCTTGATTTAACCAAACCCGATTTTACGAATTTTTTGATTTAACAAACAAAATCAGATTCTCCGCGCAGTCTATGCGCGAGGTCTCCCATCCTCGATTTTACGAAGCTCCCAAGTTAACAAAATAATTAGCGGGTCCCAGTGACTTCGTTAAATCGAGGTTCAACTGTAGGTTAGCACACTTGGAAAATGGGAGAGTTGGCCCAGTTGGCCGGCTGCCAAACTCTTCCGCCAAACTTGGATTTTGTGATTGTCCGAAACATGCTAGGCACGCCAAGCGAGCCGATGTCATGTCAGGATGCCACGGTGTCAACAGCTTTATTGGATCTAGTAACTTTGGATGTCAAGTCATAGTGTAATGTGACATCAGGTCACGTGACGTTACAGCGTCTTGTGACGTCAAGTAACTGTGCCATGCGACGTGACACCATGTGACCACATCACGTGACGTTACGGTGTCACCGTGTTGAGTGACATCACGTGATGTGATCACGTGGTGTCATGTCGCATGTCACAGTCATGTGACGCCATGACAGCACGTCATGGCATCACGACTTGACACCAGATGTCACACAACCACATCGAGTGACATAAAATCGTACAACGTCAGCTACATCATGCAACTTACAATTGGATCATTTGTCCACGTCACATAAATAAACGCACCAATAAAAAAAAATGTCATGGAAGCCGAACGTTTTTCAAGCACTGTAAGTCTGCATATGATGGCTCAATCAATAAATCGAAATACAGCTGCCAATTTCTTTTTTTGCGTAGTAGTGCCCTTCTATTAACTGGAATTCCACCACAAATGACACTTCCCGGCGTTCGTTAATGTCCGCCCATGACACAGCTGCCAGAGAGGCCAAGGATATACTCACTGATCTCAAGCTGTCGCTTGATGCGGTCCTTGCAGCGCTCGCGGTAGTCATTCTGAATCTTGTTGTACTCCGTCATCTCCTCAACAAACTTGCGAGAAAGTGTTGAGTGCTAGAAAGGAAGAACGCGGACCAATGCTGTCATTCACGGTACGATGGCGCAACAGTTCCCAGTTTAAGGTGGGGCCCATCACACTGCAAGTAAGCAGTTAGAATTTTCCGATGAAACTATTTCGTGGTTTCAAGTGGTAGAGAGGGCGTGTGGCAAGGTCTGCTGAGTAGGGTGCTTTGTCGTTTAATACCGTAACATCCAGAGAAATGGCCCACTTAAAATGGAGATCAAATGAGTGAAAATAAGGAGTGGCCTAACTTTTAGTGTCTAATGAAGAAAAGTTGAAGAAAAGCTATTTTTAGGTCATGCTTTCCTGCCAAACTTGTAATTGCAGCGAGGGACTATCAAGCAAAGATAACTGTACTTCCCAGTCAGCAACGTTCGCTTATATCCCGTCACAGCTAACTTAGCTGCATTTACGCTGAGGTCATCACTGATCCGAAGACTATGATTACTAGGACTGGGCTATCTTTCGGTGTTTAAAACAAAATAGCAAATCAAGGCAAAAATAGGGGGCGGGATATCTTTCGGGGGTCGGGCATCTTTGGGGATATTACGGTAGTCTAGTTTTATCCCAAATGACATATGCCCGGGCCATTTTACAGAAGTGTTGTTTAATCATACTTTTTCCTCAAAGTAAAAAAAAAAAAAAAAATTTAGCTCTTTTGATTTTATTTGAAGGTTAGTGCTATTATATGTGAAGATCCTCATACAGTGCAAACTAGTACTAACTATCAGGTCATAACGATTTCATGTACAGATACCACTCTGTCTTTTTCTTTTTCAGTTATTTACATAAAAGGTACTGTAATATCCAGAGAGATACACCACCCCCGAAAGATAACACACCCCTACTTTCCCCACAATTCGGGATTTTTTTTTTTAAACAATGAAAGATAGCCTACTCTGGTAACCTCGGCAGAATCGAGGACAGTTAGGCAGGCGATAAATGCTGACAGGGAAGAAAAGCCGTCTTTGGCTCATAGCCCTGCTCAGCTGCGATAACAAGTGTGAAAGGTCACAGGACCTACGTGATGAAGTGATTGACATTTTGTTAGACAGTGAGAGCAACTGCTCATTTAAGGGTTTTAAAGGGTGACTGAACAAAGCGTGAACAGATATTCATATTTTTTTGCTACAAGTACCTTTTTCTTTAAATATTTTTCTTGGTTATACACTGAAAGTTAGCCCCCTCCCTGGTTTCGTCCAATTTGCTCTCAATTTTAGGTGGGTCATCTCTCAGGATATCACGGTACTGTTCTACAAAATTTCCACTAATCATAAAATTTGACATTTCTCATTTTCTGCAAGAGTCTACATTGTTCTGCTTGGGTCATTGATGAAAACATAATTCAATTTCAGATTTTCGGGATCAGAACGGTTTGAATACTTGAAAGATTAAAACATTGAGCACAAAGACAAAAACAAGACTTTTTCTTTTATAGGACTTTTTTCGACTCTGTCTTTAATGCTTTATTCTTTCAAGTATTCATATCTATTCGCCAACACGTTCGTTTTCAATTAAAACGGTTTGATCACAAAATTTTTATGAGATACATTTTCGTCATCAAAGGATTGAAGCATCATTTGTGCAAGAAAATGTTCCTTTGCCACAGCTGTGTTTGGTGCGTGTGTCGTCGTTTATTCTGCACAATTTCTTGACTCCTGAGTCACCCTGCATACATTTCATAATCTGTGTGACCAAAGGCTATCTGGTCAAGCTTGAAATTCATCACTACCCTCTGTTGCTATGAGGAAGAGTCAAGAAAAGGACAAGGAAATATTTTCCCTCAAAAGTGCAAACCATACTGCAGTTGAGAAACATATGTTCATGTAAAACAGATGGCTATATGTGCACTTTACATTAAAGTTTAATTTAAAGTGGGACCAAAAGCACTTTTAGTCAGAACTAGAGCACATATTCCAGCACATGCAGATGTTGGTTTCTTATTAAACGGGGGCAGTGCAAAAGTAATGCCTGCCACTTTTTAAAAATGAAGGACAGCATATTGACTAATGGCATGGATTATTGCTACATGCCCCAGAAATGTTCAGTCATTTTTCAATGAAGCCCCCATTTATTATCTACACTTGTTTTACCTTTGCTGAGTAAGGCACTTAATTTCTGGCTTGTTATAGTGTTACTTCAGCAGAAGTGTAACCAGAAGAAGTCGTAAAAATCCCAGCCATCGAGCCCCAGCGCCCACCCCACCCCCGTTCACCCTCCAAAGAAAAAGAACAAAAATTCCTGGCTATGGCACCATACTTTCACAGATTCACAGGCAGTTTCAGCTCGCTGTCACCCAAACCAGGGCATCCTTCTTCAGTGATACAGTCACAAGGTGCAATTTTTAAAACAATGAGGCATTGTAACTAGACATGACAATCTTCAAAGTGTAAGTAACCATTATTATACCTAAATTAAGCACTTTAGTCAGTAACAGCAAAAAGACAAAAAATAATAACAATAATGATGGAGTTTACTGAATAATGATGGAAGGCTCGTGAAGAATGTACTGGCAATAACATGTCAATTTCATTCATGAATATGCTATGCTAGGGGTGGTAGACGGACGTAGTCAAAGAGTCATACAAAGGTGTGGCACTTTTCATAGATTTTTTTCTTCTCGGTGGTTAGAGAGAGTTCCGCTCATAAAGCGACTGCTCAGTATGTTTCTTTATCGTGAGTCGCCATTCGTAAAACAGGGATGTCGTCCAATGTGCATATGATGGCACAAAGCTGACAAAATGCTAGCCATTTTTTCTTCTTCTAAGTATGTCTTGCCTTTTAATCTGCAGGGAAAGTGGGGTGGGGGGATCTTTACCAGGAAATCCCGAGTCACGTTTTGGCCCCAAAAGAGCCGCTTGAGGCTCGCAAACTGCAGTTTGGCCATTCCTGTGCTATAGCTCGTGAGCAAGAAATGTGGAGGCTTTACTTCAGCACCGCCCCTCGTAGTTGAAAAATACACAGAAAGCTACACTATATCAGCGAGAGTAATATATCATATTATAAGCAGGGTGTTATTGTCCCACTCTCTATACGCATACTTTGCGGATGATGAGTGGAAACCACCAATTGCCACAAGACAACCAACATCCTCCTACAGACAGAACATGTCCCGGATCTCTCACACCGTCTCTAAACATCACTTGCGGGAGAATCATTACCAGAGGCATAAAAGTCCCACAGAAAAGTCAACGGGGGCTGGAACAAAGCCATCTCGGTGCTACGCAATGCCCGAAGCGGTGTACCGCCACATAAAATAAAGCAAAGCATAAGATGGTATGTTAGAAATCTATGGCAATCTCGTCTAACCTACGTCATGCTCAGATGCTTGAAACAACGGACAAACTACTTTGTAGGGCCCAAATGGTCGCACCTCGAGCAGCAAACCAGGAAAATGCAGTGCATCAGGCCCTAAACTGCTATGCTCAGTTTATTGATGTCAAACAATAATTTCTTGTCTGCAGACACACACAAAAAAACAAAAAAATAAAAACCTTCAAGCTTTAAGATTTGGAGACGTTCGGGGGACAAAGCCTGTGCATTTTGAGAAACATTTACTAGTGTTGCTTTGACACCAATGTTAACTTATCCGTAAATTTGAAGCTTTCTTCATAGAAGCCACTCAATGTTTTAGTTTCTTTTTCATAGCTCGGAACAAACAGTATATATAACTACCCCGATCATGGTACCGCTGCACTTGCGAGGTAATTTCTGAAGACTTCATTCTAATCGACCATATCATGATGGTCGCACACCACTACAAAAGGTATTGTACCATAATGTGCGATGACTATCAAATTTGGCAGCAAACAATTAAACAAAAATAATCCCAAATCGCAGCATCCGCAACTACCTTATGTAGAATTAAATTAAGTTTCGGCATAGTAAAAAAATGACCAACACCTCAAGTCCATTTACATGTTCCAGGGCTGGAGAAAACAAACACAAACAGAACGCAAAAACCTTAAACCGTAAAGCTCTTCTACTTTTGTGCACTGCTGCGACATTAGACCGTCACGTACGTCTCTGGTCAGATGGCATTACAACGCATTGAACTGTACTCCGTCACCGCCAGAGTACAGTTGATGTGGCAGTCAAATACGAGCGCGCCGTTGTTCTAAAGCAGTGTTAGCGATAAGCATTATAGAAAGAGGAGACACATTTGTTGTCTTGTTGTCTAGTACAAAAGAAACAAAGCACAAAAAAAGTAGACAAGTAGTGAGCGCGTAATGTTGCTTTCTCCCAAAATGCAACTCGGAGCGCATATCATGCAGAGAGATGCAACTGCAGCAGCTTGGTCAAATGCAGCTCAGAAACCGGAGAAAGAAAGTCAAGTGATGAGGCAGGCTGAGAAGAGAAAGAGAGAGGCAGAGCTCCATGCAGAAAAGGGAAGGGGAGAAGAGTCTGCAAAAGGCTTCGAAAGAGGCAGAAGAGAAGGAAAGAGAGAAAGATAGACCTTTCTGAGCCAGCTGCCCTCACTGCGCTCGTAAAATCCTGAAAGTCAACGTCAGTGTTGAAGGGTCACATAAATCCGGGGTTTCTTCTAGCGCGTGGGTTCTCAGGCTAGTAGGTTCCTAGGAACACAGGGGTTACCCAGAGCATTCTCAAGGGTTCCTTGTGCTCCCAAACTTCTTTGGCCACCCCTGCCCCAAAGCACTAAAGTACTCTCCCAGTTTAAGCACTATCTTAGCAGATCTTAGCCACCCATCGACGCATGTTGTTATGAGCCAAGCACTCTAATTTGTGCACCATTGTTTACAAGGTCTGTAGGCTCCTGCAATAATTATTGTATCAATGCCAAAACCAGGAGGGGTTCTCAGCTATTGGTCAAAAGAAATAGGCGTTGCTTGAGATTAAGAAGTTTGAGGATCATCTGTTCTAGCACATGGGTCAACTGCACACCAAATAAGTTCGCAGTAAATGAGAAAAAAAAAAAAGATAGGTGAGCAAAGAGGGGTTTAATCTTGAAGAGTCAAGTTAGGCCTTCAGTGATTTCGCTTTGGTTTAAATTGCAAGTGGTTTGACTTTGAATTTGTTCATGCAGAAGCTTGATCTGAAAGTACGGTACCTCCCGATTTCTGGTCTGAAAAACTTGCTCAGATATGTGTATTTTTCATAAAAGGCGATATCTCAAAAGGAGTTTTATCTCGGAAAAGGCACTTGTGACTCGTTTTGCCTCTCTTGTAAGTACGGGATTTAAGAAAAAAGAAAGGTTTTCGTTAAAAAAAATCAAAGAAAACATGAGTGTTCATTATTATAAATTGGTTATTTTCATCATCTTTTCGTAGTCTCTACTGTCAAGAGGAAACGGTCAAAGTATGCAGATGGATGAACCACGCTAATGAAATGGAAATAAATGCTTCTAGCTTTTATTCCCATTCGATCGCACATCACTTCGACCATTCTCTCTTATAAACGGCCACAACATCCCAAGGAGCTCATCTGCCCAACTGTTTTAGTACCTGTCTTTATAAACAACTGGCTGAACCAGTATATTTTCAGTTTTAGAGGTGGGCTTGATAAAGGACACATCTTGCAAAAAAAGTTTCTGACATGCTGACAATATTGACGAAATGATATATTAGGTAAAGCCATAACATAAAACTAGAAACCCTCTAATGTCAAAGAAGAAAGTCAGACCCAGCTCGAAACTGAGTCAAGCATTTCACTCATGGCTCCAAAAAAACATTGCACTCATAAATTGCGTAGTATGTTTCATTTCTAAAAACAATTTATCACAAAGAAAAAACAAAAACAGCTAGGTATACATCTTTTCGTCGCTCATCAATTGGGCAAAAAATACAGTCACTGGGCAGAGGAAACATGCACAGCATTGAATATTCCACAGAAGAAAGCTACTGTGCATGCTAAGAATGCATTTCAGAGATCAGCAGAATTTTTGTGATTTTTGGCACGGTCTATATAGCATGATTTCCACGGTGCCGTTGCACCAAGCCCGTTGAATGTCCACTTATGATTATCGTAGATGTGGACAGCCCATCTCGCTAACGAAAGGGAACCGAGTCGTGGAGCAACCGTAGAATAAGTGGCGCGGCCTCTTAAGGCCGGTTCACACATACATTGCAATGCAAAGTCAGCACTAAGAACAGCACTCATGCTGCCACCAACTTGAATGTAACTTAGCAATGAGGCAGCGCTGTACGACTAATATAGCGCAGTCTGCACTGCGTCAGCAAGGTCAGTGCTATTTCCAGTGCCGACTAACAGCACTGAGGTAGCACTGTGCTACATGTGTGGAAAGGCCCTCAGAGTGCGTTTGGATGCCACCGAGCATCCGGAACGTAATGACGACTTCTGTACTACGCACCGACAAGAAACGTTGAAACTGGAACGATGCCATTACCGTGTCCAAGACTTGTTCTAAGCTGGCTTTGCAATTTGACATTGTGCAACTGCATCCTCCAAAGGTGGCAACAAAACAATCACCTGGGTTTTGCGTATCCTCAGCTCGGCCGACCGACTGCCGACCAGGTGGTCCTCTTGATCGATATTCTGCTCCATCACTGCAATGGACCGTTTGTGGATCACCGACAGTGGCAGAACCAGAGAGGACAATGTATTGCGGCCGAATTGCAAGTAAAAACTTTAATTTAACTGCTATTTACTGCACGCTTTCAACAACCACCCTCATACTGAATGCACGGGAGAAATTATTGCGAAGGCGTCATCGCCTCGTCCGTTATTGTTTTAATTTTAATTTTAAAATGGGTTTAGCATCTACAGAATGGGCAGGTGAAGTGAACACAGTCTCTCACTGAGGATGCCACCTGGTCATGTTTATTTTGTTGTATCCGTTTCCTTTTATGCAAACAGGAAAGTTGGAACAGAGTGCAGGTTCATGAACTGAAAACATACATTCATAAGAAAATAATTATGTCATATTATACCCCTAGCTTGTACTTCTCCACCAGTCAACATGAATCACCTTAATTTACAACTTTTTGAGCCTTGTTATATCAAACTTTTAAACGACATATTCATCACTTAATTTTTCCTCTGGGCAAGAGTACAGCTGGCCTCAAGCTCAACTGAACTACTTTCAAATTCTTCCTGTCCTATAGTTTAGGGCTTATCTTTCGGCTACACTGACCCATGCCCTACTGGCATCCCCCCATGTGAGCTATTCAGAAGAATGGCTATTCTAGATTTCAAATTAACCTGCAAAACATAAACAAAATTTATTTTGCTTTGGCACAACTATAAATACCATAAGCACTGCATATTTGAGGCCTGCATAAAGGTGGTAAAAAAATGCATCACCCTTGCCAAAAAAAAAAAAAGAAAACATGCGAGTGGATCAAACTTAAGCTAAAGCACTTAAAAGAAAAGAAAAGTATGTGAGGCGAGAGTGGCTTTTAGAGTCTTTTGTCCCCTGATTTTTCATTATATCACTCAAATGGGGTAGAGGTAAACATAAACCCCCCCCCCCCCACTTTGATCTTGGAAAACCGTACAGCAACTGCTGCAGGGCACGCGGCAAACCTCTCTGCCGTCTGCTGTTTCTCAAAGGCATTGTAACGTCGTTGTTGGCATTTCCAAGCCAGCTTAGAGGTGAGCAAGGGTCCTTTGACGCCGCTGATGACGACACTTTCGCTAGTTTTTCCCTTTGATCTACCACTTTCCTGCGCCTAACACAGTGGCAGATGCTTCAGCAACATTTTAATCGGCGATTAGTCGTTCTGCTAACAAAACCGAAAGAAAACTTTATACACATATTTTTGAAGATGCCCACATTCCACTTTTTACAGTTTTTTCGAATTAAAAGAACCCCTCACCTGCCTTCAAGCAAAAATAAAAATGCGAGAGAAAAACATAAGTCGTAGATGGGCAGAATTTATACTTACACTTCAACTTCATTCGAACTTTGTTTGCAATTCGTTTGACGTCTGCCATTAGGTCTTCGAGGTCTTGCTTCATTTCTGAAAGCAAAGCGACGAGTCAACTGGTCTGGTTTGGCAGGTACGAGTTTCCACACACTGCCGACGAAAAACGAAGGCCTACTTTCGTCTTGGAGCGGAGACGACAATATGGCACTGTGCTTCCTCTTCATCTCGTGCACGATCTTCTCAATCTTGTCAATATTCTGTGCTATCTCTTCAACCTGCAGATTGCAAACATTCCCAGAAATGGTAGTATGATCAGGAAAACTTAGAACTACCAGATTAATGTCAGTTATGAAACCACATCCGAAAGACGGCTGCCCCGTGGGTGCAAAGCGGAACGAAGAGTGTATGATATAAGGTTTTAACTTTGGAAGTAAATGTTTACAAAGTACAAAATAACAACAACCAACTTCGTTTCATTAGAGGCTTTTGTTTTCGTTCCTTGTCTATAGAAGCTTTGCTACTGTTTTTGCATAGAACCATACAAAAACTACAAAAGGGGGAGGCAAATGTTTTTTGAAAAAGTGTGCGCTTGCATGTCCCTCTCACCCTCAGCTTAACTCCTCTCTTAGTTCATAATAAGATTTTGGTTTTTATTTGCAACTTTTGTCACTGAGACAAGTTTTTCCTTCTAATTCTTCTTCATATTTGTGGCAAACAACCGTGGCCTAGCATAGAGAGTTGATTTCTGCAATTTATTCACTTCCGTGATTGCCCAATAATAATTATGCGCGTCGCATGAAGTGCTGCAATGTGGTGTCTGGACACCAGCCAATTCATTTGTTTTGATTAATAAAGGTGCGCCACAGATGGCTTATTAACTCACAAACATTTCAAATCAACTCGCAAACATTTCAAATCGCATGTTCTCATCATGACAACACGTGACTGAGGCGAAAGGCGGAAGTGTCCTTGAACGGCACGTTTTCAACTATGGTTTCACGTGCAGGAAAACTCCCGATTTCGAGCCGCACATATTTCTTTCCTCAATAGCTGGGACATTGTAAGATATGTTTTCTGTAAAAACCTAGACGTACACAAATGCACTGTCCTTGAAAGGAGTTTTCATTCCACTGTGGCCAGCCCATCGCTGTGTACTTGAACCAGTTCACTAGAGCAGCAAAATGCATGCCTACCACAGTTAATGCTGAGTTGGCAGTAAAAATAAAAAAGCTCTATGGCTGCCACGCTTAAATTAAGCATGTAGACTGCTACGACGACTTGACGTATAGTTTTATCTTCTTTCAGATCTGTGCATCTGGACATTTCACAACACTACTAGTCTTGGCTAGGGCCCTTTGGACGAAAACAAACAATTATTGAGGTGTGACTCTCGTCCCACCTCCAGTGCAAGCTTCTCACCTTCGATAACACTTAGACATCTCTCGAGCTTTGAGCGAGCAGCTGCAGACAAGACACGACGAAAAGCAACGAGCGCAGGCTGCGTATTCTAAAGAGACACCCCATACTTCCTGTCCCCTCAGCTACTCTGTCATATCTCAGACTTTTTTTTCTGTCAATATTGGCTTCAAATGAGATGCCAGGCCTTTTTTGTTTATCGTCAGATGCAGTAAGATATGGCTTTTACTAAAAAAATATGAGTTACAGAGTTTCTGTGGCCCGTTGAAACCCCACGCTTTTTCAAACGAGGCAAGAGAAACAACAATCTCGACATTTTGTCGGCATTTACTTTTTGAAGTGTGCAAATGAAACCTAAAACTGCTGTCGAGGTTTCACCCTGGCTGGCATCTCGATTCTTTCACATAACGCATCAGTCCCGACACTCACTCTCCACTGAAAAAGGGGCGTATGTTATGCAAAGGGGTCAAAAGATAAGGACGTAAAGTGGGGGGCACTGCAGCACAATGGAGCATGCAACCGCTTTCCATCACTTCTCCACACACATGTTAGATCTGTGCGGAGGCTCTACACCTACGCTGGCAGTGATGCAAGTACGTGTGTCACACCTTTTCAAGTGTGCGCTATACACATGTGCGTAATAATAAATTTCCCATAGAAATCTTTGCAAGAGAAAAACACACACAACTAAAAAAAAAATAAAAAAAACACAGTGTATTAAAATAGAAAAAAAAAGCAAGTTATAGGATCGTCGTACCTCAGCAAAAAATTCTTCCATGAACGTTGGCGCGGTATCCAGAACCACCGTGACGTCTCCGTCCATGTCGTCATCGTCAGTCTGTGCCTGAGGCCAGTTCAAAAGAAAACGAAGCTGTGAAATTGCTCTCATACACTGCATGACAGTTTAATTTCATTTATTTTTCTCTCAAGGCCCAAAGGCATTATGGAGGAGTATTCATTGTAATGAACATGACATCAATGGTTTTTTGCGTTCTACTTAAAGAGGGTATGGGTGGCAATTGATTTTTACCGCTCAAGACGTGTCGCTCCAAATGAGCACTTTTCACCATTCTAGTAGTTTTGATGACAGACAGCCTTTTGATTAAAATAGAAAAACAGACAAACATGTCAAATGCTTGTTTGTGCTAACAGTGTGCTTTAATTGTCAAATGCAGGCACATTCAATTTGGCTAAATCTCTTGCACTTGCGTACACATATGTACACCGTGCCTCATTCAATTCACCAGTTTGGCCTAGTTTAATTCAAAACAGACACAGATGCATTTTAACTGTCAACACCGAGTGTATGAAAAAAAAAATATTGGATTGCTAAGCTGGCAGTTGATTGAGAAAGAAAAATTAAAGCTTCTTGCACTTTTTTTTAATTATGCAGGTGCATACATTTTTTGCATCAATGTACACTGGTGCAAGTGAACTGAACTTAAACAAATAGTACTCCTCTCATAAGTTGACTGCCTTAACGTATCCTTAAAAAAGCCAAAAGGAAAAATTTTATTTTTTATACAGTCTGGTTGGGACATGTGTGTCAAGAAATAAATTTTACGCAAAAAAAAATAAATAATAATTTCAGAACAACACTGACGGCGAGAGATTGATTAGAAATTCTGCGCGCAAAGTCCATGACGTCACTGGTCATTCCAGAATGACCATCTCGGTCATGAAGGCAAAGTCGCTCCACCTCCACGTGCCGGAAATGCCGAGAAAGACAACAACTGGAAAGAAGTTGACTACAACTAAATCGCGTCTTGCGCCGTCAATATTGCTCTAAAAACCTTTTTTTTTTCACTTAAAATATTTTTCTTTGACACGTTTTTGGACACCCAGATTGTTAAAGGACACGTGTCCTACCCAGACTGTTAAAATTTTTTTTTTTTTTAAGAGTTCGGCAATATAAAACCTAATCAAATTATAAAATAGCAGGGAGTGGCACGGTTTGTCTTCCTGGAGCTTCAGACACCCCTCTGAGAAGACACCCCTCTGAGAAGCAAGGTACCGTTTCTGGTTGGACAACAACAAGAATTCTGAAGGCTTCTTCACTGACAATTTTTGAGCAGGTGTTGAAGCTTACCGCATTCTGTCATGTCTTTGTTAGCGGAGGGTGCACAGATGAAAGATATCCTAAACGTATGAAGTGTATGTCTCATCTATCTGCTGGATTCGAAGCGCTAATTTTTTGTTTTCTGCAGCATGCTTCCAACTTGTTGGTTTACCAAAAACTTTTAAGGCGCGGCTCTTAAATGGTGCCCACGAGTGAAATTCCGTTTCATGGTTGACGAGACAAGTTTGCGCGATGCTCGTAAAGTAAAAAACAATGTTAGTCGGTTTCATGGTGTCGTTTCCCCCTGTCGTGGTGGCTCGCTCTTTCGAACGACTCGATCCAGTCGCTGACGTCGTCTTTTCCAACACCAGGGTAGGGATTGCTTTGATGGGACGTAACCGTCCATGACGATGGACTTCTGGATGTCTGACTCGACGTTGAGACCATTGTGGCCCTTGGCTTGCGAATTGAAGTAAATGGTGGTGCAGGAGTTGGGATGAGAGGACGGCTTAGTAGTTCCAGGGTGGTTAGAAAGGTGGGTGGGTCTGGGGGTGGAGTTCTAAGCTGTACCCCACACCTCCACCACATATAAAGAAGACGAAGGCATGCTGCTGAGTGTGATGTTTACTGTCGTAGGCCCAGAGCTCAACTGCCCTGGGCATGGAGCACGCACTCCCCTTGGGACAGTGCACCCTCCAATAATAAGAATGATGATGAAGATGGTTTTATGTCCAGAAACGCCCTTACAATATATCTTTAACCCCTCTACGGATACTTTTTTTAGTATTGTGTTTATTTTGTTTTTGTACTTTTAATGCCAAAAATCTAGACTAATGCAGAAAAATATTGTAGAGCTACCAAATTAATTGGGAAATTTTTTTTTCTTTTATTAAACTCAATAAACCTATTTTTATACAGTTTTTTTTTTCTTGCTCAGTTTTGATTTATGGAGTGTGAAGGCGATCAAGTCTCCAGCGCCAAAAAAGAAAAACAAACAAACAAAACAGAAGCCCGCACAGGTTTTGACCTTGTCCAGACGCGTGCCGCCGAGGGGGCTAACAAAAGGAATAAAAAAATATAAAAAAAAACTGAGACGATGTCCATTCTTTCGGGCGCTGGAGGGATCCACTGCAGACAATCGCGGCTTCATTGCCCAAGATCATTCGCCACTTGGATACGTTCCACGCGATATTCCGTGGCTTTGTGTATGAGCGTGCACGTCTCTGGGCAGAAGCAAAAACCTCTCGTTCAAGCACCTGTACCTCGCGCGCGCTATAAAAAGAGTCTTCGACGAAAGCCACAAAGGCGCTCTCGTTTCCTTCACGATTCACAACGTCCGCCCAGAACGATCGGATGCTTCCCAGCTTCCACTCGATTTCCCGGATAAGCTTTCTTTTTGTCGTTAAATTGCGTTACTGCACGAAAAAGAAAACCAACAGGCAGAAAAGAAGAAGCAAGACCTTCAACCTCCCCTCGCGACCCGCCCCCGCACTACACACAAATATGTAAAAACAGCGCATTTTTGGGTGAATTGGGGCTTTCCCCCAGAAGCTTTGAGGGCCTTATAACCAGAGGCTAGCTTCATTGCACGGCTTAAAAAACGCTCGGAGGTCAATCAACAAGTGCTCCAAGCAATGTCGACAAGAAAAAAAAGAAAAAAAAAGAAGAGCGAGCCAGCCAGTGGAGCTAGCGCCCTTTAGTGAGTGTGAAAATTCATTACCGCCTTGAGGGCCGAGATTCTGTCCTTGATCATGTTGGTCTCGTTCAGTTGTCGCCGCGTGCGTTCACTTCACACTCGAATCCCGTTGCCCGTTCTCCTACAAACACCGCAATCCTCCAGGCCGCGACGGAACACCGTTAGTTCGCTCATCGGGGAAACAGCAGGCGACCATTTGCGCACTCCAACGTTGCTCGACGGCTTCACGGCTGCTTCACTGGCTGCTGCTCGCTCCGGTTGGATCACCGCTAGATACCGCCGAAAAATCACCACGTCAGCCCTACACATTGTATTCTTCCCCTCTCCTTCTTTCTCGTTCTTTTCCTCCGCCGCCTCCTGAGAGGCGCTGTTTTCCTCTCCCACTTTCTGTTTCTCCTTTCTTCCAAACTGTTGATTCGTTTGTGCGAGGGAAAGCGGGGGGCGTAGCGTCACACGTCAAAAAGTTTTTCGATCGCAAAAGTTTGACGATTTGATCGTAGTCATCGCACGGCTCCAAATATTGCATCTTTTGAATGGTCGTTATTCCCCTTTAGCGATGTTTCTTGAGCCGTCGTGCCGTGACAAACATATGCTGGGCCTCAGATGAGTTCCTGAATCTGTGAACGAGCCGTCAGAAAATGCCGACGGCAGATCTTGGAAGCATGGAACGACAAATGTGAGATTTCGCCACTCTTTCATGTTCCGTTATAACCGTATTTAACGTACTTAAATGGCATTAACCGTAATTAACATCCGTCTACGTAATCGAGTTATAGATCCGCGGTCCCGCGCCGAAGGAAGTGTGATACGCTTGGAGTGAAACTGCGGTCCTTAGCGTGTTTTGTAGTTGGGTAAACGTATGCGAAGCGCAAGTTCGTCTGCGTCTTGCGCAGGGGTTGTGGTGACGTCAGAACGCCGAGCTCTTATTGGCTCCGATTGAAAGGATGGTGGGTAGACCTCAAGGCAGCTAGCATTGAAGGTCTACCCACTATCCTTTCAAGCAGAGCCAATCAGAGGTCGGCGTTCTGACGTGACTGCAACCCTTGCGCAAGAGGCAGACGAACTTGCACTCTGCATAATTGCCTAAATGTTTTTGAGACTTTTTTTTTTTCGTCCCCCAGGGAGCCACCTAACAGCATAGTGCAGGTGCGCGACAAACCAAGTAGCAGTTTTGGCTCTGTCGAAATTGATCTGGAATCCGATGCTGACATCAGGCCCCTCGTTACGTTCCGGGAGAAGTTGACAGCTGTGCTCCATTCGACGAGGTTCCAGGTATGCACGCACCCCTTACATTCATGCAGTTGGTGGTAATTAGGAACAGTGCATTGTTGAAAAGCCGCTGGAACTCCAGAGTGAAGAGCTAGCATACATAGTTACCCTAATTAAAGTCGTTGCTATTAAAAAGTGTGTTGAGTTTGTTATCTGTTTGAGCAGGAATTTAAGGCACGGGCACGTACACTGACCAATGTCGTACAAATGGGCAGGCGAAATATGTCTGCTCTTTCTGTGTTCCATTTTCCTCAGTCTCCTTCATGAACCTACGACTGCGTGGTTTTTCCTAGGTTGCCATTGTGATACTGGTTGTCGTCGACTGCCTTCTGGTCATCACAGAGTTGCTGGTGGAACTAGAAGTCCTCAAGTTACAGGAACACAGCAACATTGCACCAAAGGCAAGAATGCATCCTCAGCACTATCCTGGATCTCTTGCTTCACCGAGAGAGGTCTCGATCACAGGTCAAACCCAACTTGTGATCGAGGCTTTTTTGTAGCAGTTGTTGAAGCCACCAGTATTTAATGAAATGTTGCAGATTTACAACAAATACTTTTCACCTGGGGGTTTAATTTTTATCCAAACTAGTTCATCAACAAACTTTTTGGGCAGAGACCAAAACATTTGTGGGTTCTTTGCTGAAACTACTATGAAGCACTGGTTATTTTGTTTAAACTACTATGAAGTGGAATTACCGTAAAATTCTGAGCAAGCACCCACACGGAATTTGGAGATAATCGTTTAAAACCGGGGGATCTGCACTCCTTATAGGTCAACAATGTGTAAAGGTACATCCTTGGTGTATTTTCCGAATGTTACAAAATTAGGGGTGGGCACTTATTGTGGAAGGGACAGATGCTCGGTATTTTATGGTACCTGTATACCATGGGGAGATTATAAAAGAATAATAACCCTTCATTTTGGGTTAGCTCATGAGAATGGTGACACTGTTTTTCTAGGTTAGATAAAGTTACTGCAGCAGAAGAAAAAGTATTGTCACAGTTAACTGCTCCGAAACAAGAGCATTTTGTCCGGTTGCAGGAAGGGAGCTACAGTAAATTGTACTGGGCCTTCCACATGATCTGTACTGTTGCTGCCTACGACTTCAGTGACATAAAAAGACAGTCGAGCTTTGTTACACGCTTATGGTGTAATGCAAAATACTAAAACCAGCCATCTAGTCTTCCACTTTAGGTTTGGATTTTTTGTGCAGTTACATTTGACAGAAAACAGGCTTTCTGTTTTCTGTCAAGTTAAGAGACAATGCCAAACAGCAGACACTATCAGTGTTGGGTAAAGTACCGGGCATCTGCGAAAAAACCGAACCCTGTTTTTCACACCACAAAAATAAACTAGACATCGCGGAGAGCTCGAACACCGTCAGAACGTAGCCCCAGCCATTCAAACAAGATGCCAAAGTTTCAGCACCAACCCTTATCTTATTCAAAAGTTATAAGTGATTTTCTGAAATTTTCAATGGGAAAATGGGGCCCATTTTTACCCGTTTTCGGTTTCTGGTTCCATAGAGCTCCATGTATTTGAGAGCTCCGTCGGCCGCCATTTTTTCATTGAAATTTCAGAAACTTGCTGACTTTTTTTTGAATAAGATAACGGTTGGTGCTGAAACTATGACATCCTGCTCGAACGGCTGGGGCTGCATTCTGACGGAGTTTGAGTTCTCCGCGATGTCTATACTTCGTTTTAGCTTAAGTGCCGATGCAGCCGATGCTACAAGCGTGAGCTCCGGGTTTTCAGCGTTCCTGCCAAGCACGCGCTCTCGTGCAGTGCAAGCGCTGTTCAGGGCGACATGCTCGCGCTTGTAGCATTGGCTGCGTCTGAACTTAAAGGACCCATGCTTTTTTTTAGACAGGCTAGATGGAAAAAAAATATTATAAAACGAATTTACAGCGGAGGAAAAAAATATATAGAGCTATATTTACGGCGCAAAACGAATTTGTAGTTGGTGCCTGCGGGAGCCGCTGCTGGCCACGTGGTAGGCCTGTGTGCCACCGCGCTGTGCCGCCGCCGCACGCTAAGTGTTGCGCGACGCCGCTTCAACGCGTTTCTCCACGCCGCCGTCGCCGCCGCCACACAAGTTCGTCTGCTTCGGGGCGCCGCCACTGTTATGGTGTGCTAGAATACTGGGCAGTGTATCGAACGAATAATGACTGGATCGGCGGCTGCGAGAGAGCGCTACGTGTAGCAGGCATGCTGCCGGAGTGCAGAGCGCAGGCAGCGGTAGCGCTTGGCTGGCTTGGCGTTCCACACGGGTTCGATTGTTTCGTATTGTTTGGCTAACTGTTTACGGTACTCTTTATTTTTTCTGTTGTATGTATTATTTGTCATACTTTCTTTGCCAAATGTTTTGCCGGAGATGTACATCTTCGGGCAGGACGCAACAGTACACATCGCGACACTGCTAGCGCGAACACGACATTAGCGCTTTTTCCTCATTTATTTTGAGAGTATTAGCGAGGACGAAATTTTATCACCTGCATTATAGACCCGAATGAGCTTTTTGCGCAGCAATTAGAACTTTGCTGAGATCCTTTGGTTTCTCATAGAAAAACTGGTGATCGCTTGTTCACGCTAACAGTGTTGCATTCTGAATGGGAGGAAAATCACTCCCTTCGGGAAACGTTCGGAACGTCTCTTGAAAAAGACGTCCCAAACATGTGTAATGCCCTGGATAACGTAGGATAAGCATGCTGATGGCATGATACCTAAATAAATGTCTGCTTTTGTGACCCCATAATTTAGCTGTCACTGTAGGTGTGATCAGTGAATTCCGTGGTTGAAGCGCACTACCGTAATGGATTGTTTCAATGTTTGGGAAAACAAAATCGGGCTTACAAAACATATTGTTGTCTACTTCTGTAGGCTGCAGGTACGCTATAGAAGTGCCACTGTCGTCTTTTGCAACTGCTTCCACGGGCTTTCGAAGGATTTTCCGGCAATAGCCTTTATCATATTTGCTAATACTACGTAGGGTCTTTGAACGGGACTGTGCGAATAGTTAGAAAAATTTATCCTCTAACCAGCTATGGTAGTCACCAGAGTGGATAAATTTATATTTATCCCCTGAGCGCCAGCTATCGATATGTGTGGGCTCCAGGGCGTACAGATATGGTGCCTGGATCGCGTCTTCGACTGGTGTGTTTAGCGTCCTATCCCGCCCATACATCAAAAGTAGTCCCCAAGTGGCAACAAATGACATCACAGAAGCCGGAGTGTCATGCTGTTGCCTGTTGCGATCCTGGCGGTTGGCCGTAGAAATGCTGGCGAAAAGCACGAGCGAACGCGAGTGTCGCTGTCGTGACGGCGTCCCAACTTCCGGCTGCTCTAGCTACCGTGAACTGTTACAGTGGAGAGCGACCTGCAGCAGAACAGGCGTCTGCTATTTATACCGCAACTATTGGGACGCCGTCAGGGTCGCAACCGGCGACAGCATGACACTTTTATGACGTCATCAGGCGGAAATCGAGGGACCACTTTTTTGGCCGCGATAAAAACACCAGTCGAGACGCAATCCAGGCACCATAGTACAGATAAATATTTAATTATACACTGCGCACCGGCGCACAGATGAGATTAATGAGGCGCACCCAAAGATTCCCAAAGTGATGGTACTTGCTTTTCCCGAGAGCTCGGAAGAGGGGGGCTCCCGAGCTCCCCCGTAGTCGGCGCCTATGGCATTCTGTATTTCTACATTCTCCAGCGTGAGGTCATGATCTTGATGAGCTTCGACATGTTCAAGATAAAAGGCTCAGCATCTTGCGCTGGGCCACAAGACCTTTCAATTTTCTTGCGGTAAAAAAGAGGCCTCTTAGCACCTTCTCATTGAAGAGACGGAGTGCTGGGCCTACCCTCATCTTTTCAAAGCCGTTAGAAAAAAAATTACTTTGCTGATGTGAGGCATAATCTTTAATGTCACATTTTCACAGTCACTTCTCCAAGCCTTTCTAATGCAGTCAGCGTGCACAGGACCCTTCGGTGTGTCAAGGCCAGATTCTATAAAACCGATTTAGCAGATACCTTACCAAGTGCGGAAAGTCCGAAAAAAAAAATGTACAGGACGACTGTCATGACTGCCTGCATTACATGAAGCAGAGCCTCCCTGTCACTGCTTTTAATGTTGCGGGACCATGTCTCACGCCGATCGAACTCGAGAGGGGCAAGAAAAAGGGAACAGGCTTCTCTGCAGGACCGGTAGCCACTGTTGCACCCCAACACAGGGGCCCCAGGAATATAAATTAGGGGAGGTCTAAATTTTGAGGAAGGGTTAGGAGGTGGGGGGGGGGGGGGGGGGCATTGAAAATATGGGAGTCGTTGCAGAAATGGGGGGTAGGGTGGGGTAGGGTAGGGTAGGGTAGGGTAGGGTAGGGTAGGGTAGGGTAGGGTAGGGTAATGTTACCCGCAGCGCCGACCTCCTCCCTCCGTTGCTTCTCAGCGTGGACGACACACTGCCCAGTTCTAGTACACCATACCACCGTCATCTGACCGGCGCACAGGTCTATCACGTCTGCTTGCGCTTTCTCAGGAGTTTGCTTTGGGCTCGTAAAGGTACTTATTAATCTTAGTTTTTTTGTTATACTTCAAACAAAGATGAATAAGTTGCTTTTACAGGCCATAGGAAGCTTCCGAAAGAGCGTAAGCACCACATGACAAATATGTACCAGTCACGTGATAAATAAGGGCCACTTTTCCGCGGCGCCCGTTTTCGGCTTGAGCGGCGTTGCTGTCAGCGTAACCACGCGGTGTATTATGGGTAAATTTCCCCACTAAATCTAGTGGAAAAATTTTCCCGCTACATCTAGCGGACAAATTTCCGTGCTAAATCTAGCAGAAAAATATCCCCGCTAAATCTAGCGGATAAATTTCCCCGCTAAATCTAGCAGAAAAGTTTCCCCGCTAAATCTAGCGGGTCACGTGACGCCCCCGAGGTCACATGACCCCCCATGTGACCTTGGGGAGGGGGGGCCATGTGACCCCCCCCCCCCTCACACGTGACCCTCAGTACCCTTCCCTCCTCCTCCTTAAGAGCTGCGCTCTAATTCGGCGTTACAGGGAGTTGTAAACGACTTTCATTTTTTTGTTGTAAATTCGTTTTATGACTTCCTTTTCCCAACCAGAATGCTGAAAAAAAAGCTTTTTTCCTTTGCATGTGTCCTTGAAGCTGAAACGAAGTCTAGATTATTTTTGCAATGCAAAATGCAGGATTCGATTTTGTCACAAACGCTCGGTAGATCTAAAGAATACTTGAAGTAAACAGTGGCGCAGCCAGGAGAGGCTTATGGGGCTTCAGCCTCTACCCCCCACCCGCCCTTCCCCCCCAAAACTCATGTGACCCTGTAATATGCACCTGCATTTTGAATCCCGCCAGTTCAAATAAAGTACAAA